CCAAACTTTGAGTTATTAAGGAAAGAGCCTCGTTTCCATTCCTCGCTATTGACTCCTTCCTTCCTTGTCACCTACATACCGGTGAGTTTCTTCCTCAATTTCGCTCCGATCTCTGCAAATTTCTCTGAGATTGTTGATTTGATTCCGATTTAGTTAATGATTTTCTTCTCTCAAAGGTGCTAATCTACCTCTGCGTCTATTGGATTTGTAGGGGAAATTGGGTTTACTGATCGCGATCTTTAGTTTTGTGAATTTGAGCTAAATTGGAGCTTCTCAGATCGGTCTTCGATCGTTTGCGGTCTTTTAAGACTTTTTTTGTTGGGATTTTTTGACGGGCGAGGACGAAAGGGTTGTTATTGTGGGAATTAGGGTTTTCATCATGGATACGAGCAGGAGAGCTGTGGAATCGTATTGGAGGTCGCGGATGATCGATGCGGTCACGTCTGATGAAGACAAAGTAGCTCCTGTGTATAAATTGGAAGAGATCTGCGACCTTCTTCGTTCTTCTCATGTCAGCATCGTCAAGGAGTTTTCGGAATTTATTTTGAAACGTCTTGACAACAAAAGCCCCATCGTTAAGCAGAAGGTATCTTTCGATTGCGTCTATTTTGGGTTCACATGGGTGATGCTTGACTAATTAAATGTTGTTCCTTTGTGAGAGCATTGAGACATTTTTGATTGAAAATGTTGCATGTGGGGATTAAATAAGTTTTCTGGTTGATGTCTGTTGTTGAGAATGGATCAAAGAGAGATCTCTTGTAGATAGCCTGAAATGAACATAATTTTTTGGAGATTAGGATTTCGTTCTTTATTCGGTTGATTAAAGCTTAGCAATTATAAGGGAAATGTAGAATTGATAACTATCCAAGCTAATTCTGGTAGAACTGCTTATACTGATTCTGGCTGTTGTAATGGTGTGTATACAGGCTCTTAGGCTGATAAAGTACGCGGTGGGAAAGTCTGGCGCAGAGTTTAGAAGGGAAATGCAAAGGAACTCTGTTGCAGTTCGCAATTTATTCCATTACAAGGGGCATCCAGATCCTTTAAAAGGGGATGCGCTTAATAAGGCTGTACGGGATACTGCTCATGAAACAATTTCTGCTATATTCTCCGAAGAGAATGGTAGTAAGCCAGCTGCTCCTGAAAGCATCAACAGACGCATTGAAGGATTTGGGAATACTAACTTTCAGGTGCCTACTGATGATAAAAAATCGTTCCTGAGTGAGGTGGTGGGTCTGGGAAGTGCATCAATAAAGCAAGGAATCAGTAATTTTGCTCAAGGTAATTTGCCGAAGAAGAATGAGAATGGAAGCAGCAGCTACAGAGGTCCAAATCTACACAGATCATTAACTATGGAAAACGAGAACTTCAGTAGATATGATCCAGTTAAGCTGGGGAATGATGGTAACCATGGGATTTCTAGGAACACGGGTGGTGGATCTTGGGGCCATGCTTCCGGAGAGACAAGTGAAAGTTCTGCTTCAGTTCGTCTCGAGAGCAAAACTCGTGAGGAAAGGCTGCTGGAAACCGTTGTTACATCTGGCGGTGTACGCCTGCAGCCAACTCGTGATGCACTTCATGTATTCATCTTAGAGGCTGCTAAAATGGATGCTGTTGCTTTAAGCATTGCTCTTGACGGGAAGCTCCAGTCTCCGATGTGGCAGGTATGTTTATGATAATTTCCTAGTCACCTTCTTGTTAAGCTGTTTGATGCAAATGTACCTTTTTTTATTGGTTATATTATTTGTATTTTCCTTCCTTAGTTTGTTTCTTCTGCAGCGTATAAAAATCTTCCCACTGTTGTACGTTAAAAGACATTTTTATTTTCATTTGGCAGGTTCGGATGAAAGCTTTATGTGTCCTTGAGGCCATTTTGAGGAAAAAGGAAGATGATAATTTTTCAATTGTACATACTTATTTTAGTGAAAACACGGATGTAATACAGAGATGCTCAGAGTCTCCTCAATCTTCCCTTCGTGAAAAGGCTAACAGGGTGAGATTCTGCTTAGCATTCACAAAGCTTTCGTTTTTGACATTATGCTCATTTACTGAAGATACTGGCTTTGTGTAGGTTATGAGCCTTCTAGATGGTGGACAGTCAAGTGGGTTGATGAGCAGCTCAGAGAATACTGTGAAGCGAGAGCCTGCTGTTGATTTACCTGACTTGATCGACACTGGTGATTCAAATTATACAACAGAAGATACTTTGAACATGCCAAATGCTATAAATACTGGCAGTACAGTGACGACACCAGCTCCATTGATGGATGGTGATTGGTTTGGGGATAGTACTGACACTGGACTGAGTAGCAGCGAGAAGAAAAATGATGATGACCCTTTTGCAGATGTATCATTTCATAATGAAGAAAAAGAAAATGCAGATGATCTGTTCTCTGGAATGACTGTCGGGGAAAAGCCCGCTGCTGGTGGTAATCATGTACCTGAGCTATTTGATATGTTTGGGTCGACTGAAGCAGAACCAAAAGGTTCGAAAAACATAAATGATTTGATGGCAAGCTTCTCCGTTGATGAAAACAGCTCAAATCAGAAAGGCTCGTCTTCAAGCACCCTTCCAGATAATTTATTTGCAATGCCGAGCACCAATAGCCACCAAGCACCGGAAAATCCTCTTGGAGGCATTCTTGGTTCACAAAGCCCTGGGTTTATTCAAAACCCAATGGTTCCTGGGGGTGTAATGCCCTTCAATTTTCCTCCGGGGATGATGATGAATCCAGCTTTTGCATCTCAACCTTTGAACTACGCTGCCATGGCAAGCTTGTTAGCTCAGCAGCAGCAGCAGTACCTTGGTAATATGTCGAACTTCCAGCAGTTTGGCAACATGAACGCTCAGGGTAGCGGAAATGTTCTTCCCATAGGTACTAACGGAGGAAATCAGTCAGCACTCCCTGATATATTCCAGCCAAGTTTTGGTAATCAGGCTCCAACCTCAACAATGAACGGTTCGGAAAAAAAAGATACCAGAGCATTCGATTTCATCTCAGTAAGTTTTTCAATCTTGCTCATGCTCCTTAATTGCAAATTGTTGGTCACTTTGCCTTTATACGTGGAACATCAGTCTGAACTCGTAAAAGCTAGCTTCTAGTCTTCTTTACAACCACCTACTTGTTTTCTTTTCACTAGGCAGGCTTAAACATAGGCAGACCAGATCTACTTTTTTTGCACAGATTTACTTTTGTGGTACAAACTTTTGTCTGATTCACATATACTGATGGAGCAACCAACATATATGTCTTGTGTGGTGCAGGATCATCTTGCATCAGCCCGCGACACAAAGAGAATATCTTAATATCCTTTTGCCAATATAAATCCGCCTTCCGGTGTTAAATGTTATTTCATGAGATATGGACACAAACAAGGGGGAGGAAGCTAAATCGTTTATCTATGAGAGGTGTAAAGACTTGAGGATGAGCTTTGAATTGATTCATCCGGATATAGCGAGCGAAAGAGAATCTGATACATTTGAATCATATGGTAAGCTTTTTTGCATTTTGTTTTTCCCTCGTTTGTCTTTTGTTTTTCTCTTATTTGGAGTCATCGTTGTTCTTGGCATGAACATGAAAGTTGTAGAGTTGCTTTTGTTTCACATTGTTTGTTTCTAGATGTGTTTCTATTGTTCCTTTGCTATATATTACTATATCTGAAGAGGCTATGTCTGTGTAATCTGTTAGACGAACTAGACATGAAAGAAAATAAAACTAAGCAAAAATGAGCTCTTTGCATTACCATTCACTATAATTAAGCATAGTTTTGACTTTTGAGACATGTACGGTTTTAATTTTTCAACTCCAGTATTTGTTTGATGGGAAAAGCGATATTTTGGATAATTCCCTAATTTCGGTTATGATTCCTCGTGATGTCCGGTTTAATCATTACAGTCAATACCTCCAAATTGTAGATTTTCTCACACGTTTAGGCCTTTCTTTGGGGGAAGTAGGCTTGGTCCATATTTTCAGCTTTTGCCTGTTATGCTC